ACCTTCGCAGCACATACAACATCGGTAATCCTTTTCAATGGAGTCGCAATGGAGGCGGCTGTGGAAGACAGTAGGGAATCAGTTCAGGTCTGCTGAAAACCCACAGGTGGGACAAAGATAAAAATGTATAGACTATAGACATCTGGGGAAAAAATGGTTATGATGCTTCCAGGTTATAGTTAGTCACTGTTGGTATGCAGAAAGCTGAAGACTTAGATACACCCAGCCTTGGACATTCAGTTTGTGATAAGCACTAGGAAGAATTAACTAGCTCCTTGGTGTGCTTGCTCTGGGCCATTATAGAAACTGTACAACTCCAAAAAGCTTGTGCAGAAGTCAAGAGAGGAATCTATGGTGGGGAATGTGCTAACCTTTGGAGAGCTGGCAGCGAATCAGTAGAAGGACCATGCTCAGGGGAATTCAAGTGAAGAAATAAATCTACCTCGTGTGCTTTCCCTCATCTGAAATGAACTCTCTTGTCCTTGTCAAGGAAGCACCTTCCATCATCTGGAATTGCTAAGTATAGGCAAACTATCAAGAGGCTATATGCCATACCCGTTTGTCTTAGTTTCCTTTCCTGATTCTTTGACAAAATATTCTAACAAAAGCAACTGAAGGGAGAAAATGTTTGTTTCACTCACAGTTCCCGGTTGCAGTACATCCTATCAAGGAATTAGCTCAGCCAAAGCCCGAGAGTTACATACATTTGCTTAGTTGTATACCCCCATACCCCTAACCTGTATAGCAAGAAACAGCTTTTCAAGTAGACACCTTGAAATTAGCACCCATATGATTGTTTCCTCCTCCAAAATGCTTGTGTTCCTCATGGTGCAGAACGTAGGGTTCTGAAATTTGGAATATGTGTTTATACATAATGAGGTATTTTGGAGATGAGCCCCAAGTCTAAACATGACTTTCAGTCATATTTCATAAACATTACTTCATATTTCATGTATAAAAATTTTAACGTAAGCCTGAAACACAGAGCCAGAAAATAATTTTATACATCTCAATGTGCTTTGACTGTGACTTGTCACATGAGATTGGGTGTTGAATTTTTAACATCACATTGGTACCCAGAAAGTTGCAGAGTTTGGATTTGAGGAATAAGAATACTCAACCTGGGCTCAGTGGGTAAAGCATTTGCTGTGTGTGTGTCTGAGATCTGGAAGCACCAGCATGTGTGTGTGATCTTAATGCTCTTGGAGTGAGACGGGAGGCAGAGAACGGGGAACCCTTGGAAGCTTGCTGCCAGCTAGCCTGGCATACCCAGCAGAGAGCAACAAAAGCAAAGAGATCCTGGCTCAAACTAAGTGAAGCGGGAGGACCCAACACTCAGAGTTATCCTCTGATCTCCCATGCATGCTGTATTTACACATGCACACACACACACACACACACACACACCTACCTCTGTAGGAAATCATTTTAGCTGACTTCAGTTTCAGTTTCACTAGCCTGAACCCCTCCCCCCCCCCCCCCCATCTCTTAGAATGGCCACCAGCTGCCCCTGTACTCTTTGCCATCGCCTAGACATGATCTGGTGTGCACGTGCTCTTCTGCCTCTGTGAGCTGACTTGCTGCCTTCCAAGTCGTGCTTATTCTGTAACGTATTTACTGAGGTTGTATATCCCAAAGTAATTGCCATTAATTAAATACTTGCCAGATCGCTGGAATAACCTGAAGAAAGTTGTTGCTAAGAAAACTAGGTATGGTGGTTTAATAAGAGTGTAAGTTGCTTGACAATTTTACTTTTGAATATAGAGAAATGCATGTAAGATAATCATCAACCAGGAAGGAAAAAAAAACATATCCTTCATGTTACAAAACAAAAAGCATGTGCTTCATGGGTGAGATTTCTGCAACAATAGAAAATCCAGGATTTCAACAGTAGCTTCCCTGGCAAAAGAAGTTTGCAGACCCTAACTCACAAGTGTGTACATACATATTCAGAACTAGATGAATGTGTGTTTTACATTTTGTAAATCCAACATCATTTTACTGACCAGCTGTGCTTCCAAAATCTGCAGAAATGGTGACTCTCACTGTTCCTTGAATCTTCTAAGCCTGGAGTATCCTTGCTAGCTGTAGTTACTATGTGCTTTGGAGGGTGCCCCTGACTCTAGTGCCATTTCTTTTTCTTTTTCTTTTTTTTTTTTTTTTTTTTTTTTTTTTTTTCCTTAAACAAACATTTTCTTACTCAGGGTCTTCCTACTCTTTTTTCTTTATACCTGAGTTAGTCATCCCCATCAAGGGGGATTTTCATCATCTTGCCTGATTTTCATCTGGAGGTTCTATTACTTTATATTTCTGTGATAAAACCCCTGACACGGATGTTTAAGGAAAGGAGAGTTGGGCTTCACAGTTCGAGGGATATAGTACATGATGGTGAGGAAAGCCTGGTGACATGCGGACGTGACATGAGGGCAGGAGCATGAGGTGGCCAGTAGCATCACTACCTACATCTGCCTTCAGGAAGCATGGTACCGGTGTTCCTCGGGTGGCCTTTCGGCTTCCTCCCCCTTTCATTCCATCTGGAAGCTCAGTACATCTAGTTTTTTCCTTAGTGAAGCCTTCCTGGTAACACCCTCAGGGCCCTCCCAGAGGTGTGTGTCTCCTGGATGATTCTGAAGTCCATTAAGGTGACAATGAAGATCACCCAGCATGTGAAGCAGAGACAGTAGTCGCTGCTTGTGATCACGGTGAAGAAGGGACCAAAGGTTTGGTGTAATTCTATTCTGAAGCTCCTTTAAGTCACCATTTTAGCTCACTATGTGGGTCCAGTTTATAAAAAGGCTCCACAATGTCCTAGCTCCACAGTGTGATTTTATAATGTGTGTAGACTGGGAGCCGTTAAAGGAAGTTTGATAAATGTTTTCAAATGTTTCCCTTCATTCATGCCCATTTCCATTGCTTCCTATAGTGTTTCTGGTGAGCATTCTTCTCTGAAATTTAGTAAATGTCAGCCATAGTCTGTGTGTAAAACCTTGGCCTAGTGCCAGTGGACTTACCAATTGATATTAGCCTGTTAAGAAAAATTAAATAAAACGTGAAAATGGAATGAAAATTGCTTTGAAGAAAAATGGAGGCAGACGCTTAAATGAGCCATTAGTAGCTTGATACTCACTCTCTGGTTGAGTTCAGAGCTGTGCTATTTTGTACTGTTGCCAGGCTCCAAAAGGAAATCCAAAGACACAAATTAAAAATAATGCTTTGACACAGCAGCTGTTTACCTGCCCCTTTTCTGGATCAGCCACTAAGAATGCAGAGGTGTCAACTGGACCAGTGACTCCAGCTCAAGCTGCAAATCTCCAACTTCAGACAGGAGTCAGAGCTACGGTAGCTTACTCCCTCAGGACAGTGAGGCATGTGTTTGTGCAGAGTTCCCTCTGCTGGGAATTATCAGCATAATCAAGTGTAAATGTGAACACATATCCATTCATGAAGTGGCCTTTGTTTTCAAAAAGGATAACAAGTAATTTGTGAGATGTTTCGGCAAGTGTTTGTTACACACCTGTGGTACTTACCTTAATAAAGGATTTATCTGAGTGAGGCAGACTGGCACCTGACCGTATTAGGAAAAGTCAAAAGGTTAGGAGTTCTAGGCCAGAGCCTCAGCTACAAAGCTAATTCAAGTCCAACTTGGGCTGACACTGCCTCAGATGTCTCCAGATGATGGTGATGATGATGATGATGACAGCAATATGATGATAATGATGATATAGCTCTAAGACATTTCTGTGCACTAGCATTTTATACCTTGGTTACTTCTTATCCCTGTAGGTGTCAGGACTTTGCTATGTAGCCCATGCTGGCCTAGAACTTCTGACCCTCTTCCTGCATCAGCCTCTAAGTGCTGGGATTACCAGTGTGCACCACCACACCCGGCTCTAATTGCTATCTTAATAGTTGTCTGGACTGACTCACTGTTTAGTCTCCCTGTCTTCCTATTTCCAACGCAGTATGGACAATAGATTAAGTTAATTGTGCCGCTGAAGCTCTCTGCCTTAGAACATTTCTGTCGTTATCTTGGCATTTACTTCTAAAATGGCTTTTTAAGATGCATGGAAAAACCTTCAAATTTAATACCAAATGTGATGTTAGCATAAACGCTGATGCCTTCTGTTCCTGGTCCATGTTTGCAGAAAAGGCTGTTTGATTTCTGCATGCTTGTTAGTCTGTGCCTCTGGAAGAAAATGGAGCCTGTGGACTGTGTTCTAGCATCTGATATTTACTTTTTTTGAGACTCACAGTGGTGTCTGAGAACAGGTTGAAAGGCTGGCCAACTCTCTACCATTAATTTCAGTAGTTTTCAGTTGTTTTACATTACATATGAGCAGCTCTTGGAAGCTTAAAAGCTTTTGCTTTCAAGACACTGAATAGAACCTAGATATTATTTGGACTGGTTACCATTCTCTGGTTGTTTGTGTTTGTTTGTTTGTTTGTTTGAGGTACATTTTACTTTTTAATTATGTGTATACAGTGCAGTGAACAATGTGCATGTGAGAGGCAGGTACCCACAGAGGCCAGAAGAGGGTGTCAGATCTCCTGGAGCTGGAGTCACAGGCAGTTAGTTGTAAGCCACCTGATATAGGTGCTGGGAATAGGTGATAGGAACTGAATCCTGATCCTCTGTAAGAACAACATGTCCTCTTAACCACTGAGCTGTCTTTTAGCCCCTCAATGGCTGTTTATGCCTTCTCTTTGAATTAAATGTCTGCTGTCACTTGCTGGCACTAAACAAATCACATGTCTCCTGGATATCACCTACAGATTTGTTTCTGGGACGTTTGTTATCTTTTCATTATGAATTTCCCTTGAAGCAGCAGACAGGTTAGCAGAGAACCAACCATCTGCAATCCTTCCATCATGTTTCATCTGAGGACCATCCACCTAGATGTTTTGCTTCACTTATTGATCAAAAAATTACAGCATTTCAAATTTTCCTTTTTTGGGAAACAGAGGTGACTGATCATTTGTTTTTGTGTTTGTTTTTTAAGGGTTTCTCCTCTTCAGAAATCTGAGGTGGTCGAGATGGTTAAGAAACAAGTCAAAGTCATCACACTTGCCATTGGAGATGGAGCAAATGACGTTAGCATGATACAGACGGCCCATGTGGGTGTTGGGATAAGTGGCAATGAAGGTTTGCAGGCAGCCAACTCTTCAGATTACTCCATAGCTCAGGTAAAGCCTCAAGGCTGTGAAACATACCAGTACTGCTAATCCATCAGCTGCCAGCAAAGAGGAAAATACTAATGTCTTTTCATCCCTCTCCTAGTTCAAGTATTTGAAGAATTTGTTGATGGTTCATGGTGCCTGGAATTACAACCGAGTATCCAAGTGCATCCTATACTGCTTCTACAAGAACATTGTGCTCTACATCATTGAGGTAGGTAGCATCTTGTTAAACTTGGTCCTGCCCCATCACTCATAATTCTAACTGTTATCTTTATGGAGATCTTTCTCGTTGTTTTCATGAGTGCTTCATCTTCTCCCTTACAATTTAAGAGGAAAAAAAACATAATTTTAAGATTTATTTTTGTCTTATGTGAATGGGTATTTTGCCTGTGTGTCTGTCTGTCTGAGCACCATGTGAGTGCAGTGCCAATAGGGTGGGTCTCCTGGAGCTGGAATTACAGATGGTTGTTAGGCACCATGGGGATTCAAACCCTGGTCCTCTTCAAGAACAGTCAGTGTTCTTAACTGCTTAGTCACTTGTTCACTTTTTCTAACTTCTAAATGTGCTCAAGCAAATAAGATGTCAGCCAATGGTCATCAATTTTAGACACTAGCTAAAAGTCTTAGGTCACTTTGGTGGAAAGTTGAGGTAGAATTGCTAATGAGTCGTGTCTTCGGTTTTTAAAACTGAAGACTATAAAGCTTGAACATGTACAGAATTTCTTCAGACTACTGTTGAGGGGTAGAACACATGGAAAACTGTATTTAAAAACTAACGATACTGATGATGGGGGAAATAATCAGCTAAAGTCAGGAATGGCAGAGTGGAGAAGAAGATAATGGTTAGTTCTGGTCCAGGGGAGGCACCTGAGTGCAATCGGAGGTACACTACAGTGTCACTGAGTTTAGCTGTCTGGCATTCTTGTTGTCAGTGGCTCTCAACCTTCATAATGCTGCAGCTCTCTACTACAGTTTCTCATGTTGAGGTGACCCCAACCATAAAATTATTTCCATTCCTAGTTCTTAACTATAATTTTGCTAGTGTTATGAATTGTAATGTAAACTGTTGCTATGCAGACTATCTGTTATGTGACCCCTGTGAAAGGGTAGGTCAACTCCAAAGAGGGTTGTGGCCCACAGGTTGAAAACCACTGTCTTAGGTCTTCTCTGTTACCCACAGCTACCCTTTGTTATCCATCTTTTTTGGTTTCAGAGCTTAGCAAATAACAAGATTTGGATAAGGAATTTCCCTAAAATATTCTATTCTAGGTTCTTTCCATATATCAAATATGGCATCATCTTACAAATGAGGTCTTAGACTGGGGACCTCACTTCGTAAAGTAGTTACTTGTCAGCATGAGGACCTGAGTTCGAATCCCAGAGCCCATGTAGAAAGGGCGGGTATGGTGCAGCATGTGTCTGTAATCAAGGCACTGGAGAATCAGATTGCTAAGCTAACCTGCCATACTTTCCTGCTCAGGGAGCTCCCAGACAATGTTTCCAATAAACAGTGGGGAGCCTCACCCCAGAGGAAAGGCTTTGCCATTTTCTCCAGGAGTCCTTGATGTGACTATGCCCATATCACCAATACTTCACTCACTGGGACTTCTCTGCTCCCTACAGTTTTTAATATCCGGCCCCTAGGTCTTCAGAAACCATATCATAATAATGGTCCTCTAGATAGTCTGAGTTTTGCATCCCTCTGAACAGCTGTGAGGAACATGGATAAGTAGGGAAATTCCCTCCTCTACTCTTCTGAGGGCCTGCCCACATCCCCACAGATTTGCTGAGGCTCCCTTCAGATGTTGGTCTGTGCCACCTTGCCCTCCATTCCATGGACATTTCTATGCATCTGTCAGAAGGACTTGGCCTACCCACTTCTTTATGGAAATAAGCTCTATATTTTACACCAGAGATACTTTACTCCACATCGGCTGTGTTCCTTGGAAAGTACTAGATAGTTGGCTCAGTTACCTCTGTCAGAATTCTTGTTACAAGTTAGATTGGGATATTGACACATAATTTTGAGGTTTACAGGCTATGTCATCTATTAGTCACTTAAAACTTTTAAACCAAGAATTTAAGGCCTGTCAGCATGTAGCTGTGTATGAAGTATATATTTAATGAAATAAGCTCATATTTTAGTATACACTAGTTGACAGTCTTTTTTTTTTATGTATATCAACAACAGTGAAGTGTGAAAACTTAGGTACTGATGAGGAAACTTAAAATTTGTTTAACTCAAGTGAAAATGAAGTCTCACACTGTGTTTCAAACCTAGAACTGTGTGATTTGTGATTACCCAGTCCTAAATGGTCCTGGAATTGAATGGAAAGCCTCTACATGAGCTATTTAACACCGATTACATTCTTAACAGGTTAAAAACGAAGCGAGAGAGAAACTTTACCAGAAACTTCATTTTTATTTTTCTGGTAGCACCTTTTGAAAACATATTTTGAATATAATTCCACTGCCTTGGACATGGATTGAACTTTTAAATGTCTCCTACACACATACCCCACCCATACCCAACTTCTGCCAGCTAAAACAAGTTCTGCAGATGTTAATGGCTCATGTCAATACTCAGAATGAATAGGCAGAAAACACATCATTGAATGTCTCCAGCAAGGACAACTGCCAGTCTCGGATCTCTCTTTTCTGTTTTTGTGCTGATCGAGCGTGGGAGCAGGGACTGCACTGACTCTCTGCAAGCTGCTGCTTAATATGCAGAAGTGCTCCATCAGGAAAATGTCTGTGGGGCTTTAGCTGACACGCCTCTGCGGGGGGAGGGGGAGAGCTTGGAAAAGAATTCATAAAGAAGGGCCTTAAACCCAAAGTGTGTGCTAGATTATCAGCAAAAACTGCTTTCTTGTAGTTGTCCTGCCAGGGCCGTCACTAGCTCACTCCTCCATTGCTGTAAATTGTGATCTCTCTCTCTCTCTGTCTCTCTCTCTCAGTCACACACACACACAGAGAGAGAGAGAGAGACAAAGACAGAGACAGAGACAGAGACAGGTTCAGCAGGTGGCAATAGAAAACTTGCTCGGGGTCGCTGCATGGCAGTGGCTGTAGGTGTTCACTTAAATTATTGGCTCATTCTAAAACTTTTTCTTTCCCCTTCTGAATCCTCTGATCCCTCCCTAACAAAAAGAAGCTTTCCTTTAAGACAATTGGTGGCACCTAGGTTTTCTTAGGCCCCAAAACAATGTAGCCGTTCCCCTTTGCAGAAAGTCATTAAAGCCAATAAGGTGTTGTTCCCAGTGCACTATGCTGGGAAGTAAATTCCCTGGGAATTTAAATCATCTGGGCACTGCCCCCAGAGACCTGATGCTTGCTTTTGGCATCCAAGGCTTTGGTTGGATGAAAGGAAGGACGCTATGTGCTTATGGTAATTCAGGTTCTGTCTTACTTAGAGAGTGTTTCTAAGATATGGCTTAAACTGCAAATCTCAGACTAACCTAACAGTGGTAGACTACTTCCCTGTCAAGGACTTTCTCATTCTCCTTAAAAGAAATGTAGAGTGTGAACTTATGAATACCACACTATTTATGTAAAGACTCTTCCTTTATCTAAACATTCCAGTCCATTTTCTTGGACCTTTTGGAAAACAAAGGATAAATTTCTAAGCACATGTCACACACCTTTCATCCAGAAAGTACAGTGGCAAAAATGTGTTAATTCCCATTTAAATGTTTTCTATTATAACACAGTATGTTTATATATGTTTTAAATACACTTTGAATGCAGACTTGCTAGTTTGTGAGTTCTTTTGTGTTTGAAACTTTCTGTCTGTTCATTGACTTGAAAGAGAGTCTTAAAATCTAATTTCATGGTGCTTAAATTAGCAATAGAATGTTACATGCAAATAAAGCTAAAGGGAGCCACTCACCTCTATAATTATTGGCCATAAACAATTTAGTAACAAACTTACACAGTATCAATGTTTTAACAATGCATTTAGCATTAATTATTCCATGTGAGCCTGATTGAGTCCATTAGACTGATTTGGAGACATTCACTATTAATACTTGCTCAACCATTCCCTTCCACTATAAAAACGAAGAAGGCCAGTACAGAAACTGTGCATGTGGCGTGGGGGCAGGGACAGGGGTGTCCTGGGTTCATAGTGATGAATGTCAAATTTGTAGCAGTTCATGCTTCCACAACGAGGTTAAACGAAACATGAAGTGTAGCGGGTTCCTGTGACTCTATGTGCTCTCTTGAGCTGTAAGTCAAGAAATTCTTCTCACTGTACTGTGTGCATGTGTAATCTTCTTGCTGGGTCAGGCTTCTTTCTTTTCCAAGTCTGCCTGATTTTTAATTATATTTAGGTTGGCTTTTTCAAATGCATTCTTTTTTCAAGGTATTGCCAGTAATCACTTTAATTTTATATTTGTTTCAAATACACTGAATAAAACTATACTACTATTAAATTTTGTTTCCCAAGTTAGGGTTTCTCTTTCAAGGAAAATTACAAACATATGAAAACATTATGTTCTAGTAATCAAAGATTTGACTTTATACAAGCATTAAAATTGAAGTTCAACTCACAACCATCTGTCACTATACCTCCAGGGGAACCTGTGCCTCTGGTCTCCTCGGGTACCTGCAGTCATGCACATAGCCATGTGCAGACTCACACAACTACAAATAATTAAAAATTTAAATTTTAAGTTTAAAAGATTTCAATATGTAAATTCAAATTTAACATCCCAATGTCAATAATTATCAAGAACTGTAGAAAAACAAAAGGAAACATATTTAATGTATTAAAGGGAAAAGGAAGATGTGTACTGTTTCAATTAGGAATCATTTCTGATAGCAAGAGCTGTTGAGCCAGCTAAATCTTCACATTGCAGAAATTCTGAATCCATTAGCAGTGTGCTAAGGAATTGTGGAAACTCAAATGCCCTTTGTAATGTTAAGGGGAAGAAGTAGGGTGTGACGCTATATACAGTTGGTCTCAAGTAAAATAAACCTGTGGTATTATTTATATAAACTACACTCATGACACAGAAGAAAATGATAATTCTATTACTATAGGAAATTGCATCCTAAATAAGTAAGTATAACATCTAGAGTAAAAAATAAACTTTAACTAAATCCTTCCAGGGACTTTGAAAGGGGAATTAATGAAAGTTTAATGCCTTGTAAATATATTCACGTGTAGAAACAAGATCATATCTTTTTTTAATCTGTGATCGCTTGCCCACATAGATATTTAGATTTGGCAAACAGAACAAATTCTGTCTCAAATGGCAGCAATATAGTGTAAGTCCTCCTTTAAGTCAAAAGACAAGAAATGTCATTGTCCGGAGACCCAGGAACAAATCCATTGGTGCTGCTTTTCAGGGTTCGATGTGTTGAAATTCTGAGTCCTAATCTGGGCCTTGGGGCTTGCTTTCTTCCTAGATCTGGTTTGCCTTTGTCAATGGCTTCTCTGGACAGATCCTCTTTGAGAGATGGTGCATAGGGCTTTATAATGTGGTGAGTTGAGCACATTTGATAATTCCTATTTTGTTTACTACTAAAGATAACTGTGATAGTCATCATCTGGCCCTGTGATGTAACAAGCAGTATGTCACTTTAGATGTTTACAGCGATGCCTCCCTTAACATTGGGAATATTTGAGAGATCGTGCAGAAAGGAGAACATGCTGAAGTACCCTGAGTTGTACAAAACGTCTCAGAACGCTCTGGACTTCAACACCAAGGTAGGAGCTGGTGTCCTCTTATGTGTGCTGAGGGGTTTTCTCTGTTGCTGCAAGCTCGGGGCGTCCAGCCTGCCTCAGCCAAGCACTCCAGGGTACCAAGTGTGGCAAGTCATATATGTGAAGGTTCTAAATATGGAGAGTGAAGAAGTTTTGTTGGTTGGATTGGATTGTTTAGGGGTTTTGTTGTTGTTGTTGTTGTTTGTTGGGATTTGTGTGTGTGTGTGTGTGTGTGTGTGTGTGGTTTTTTTGTTTGTTTGGGTTTTTTGGGTTTGTTTTTTGTTTTTGTTTTTGTATTTGTTTTTTTAAGGTTACAAAATTAAAATGAAACCACTCTTCAACCGGGTTCTTGGGGCAGCAATGAGTAGATGTGCCCTGCCCGGCCATGTCACTGTCCTTTTAGGCAGTGTTGGAAATCACTCACTTCTCACCAGCTAGTCACCTAGGGCTGACAGGGCTTGGCTGTACTTGTGCGATTCACTCCCAGTCTCTGTTGTTCTCATTAAAATTTTAGAGTGATTGAATCCGGCATTAAAACTATAGCTTTCAGGAAGAAACTTCTTGTTTACTTGGTAGCTCTGAAGCTTAAAATTAAACACACAAGATGAATGGTCCAGCATTTCACCTAAAACTGTAGTTTGCCGGGGTTGTTGTTTTGTTTTTATCTAGAAAGTTGTTCTTTGCTTTTCTTCTCTTCATTAGCATAAGAAGTGTCTTTACCATAAAAAGTAACAGGTTTCCCTATGGCATTCTCCTATGTGATTATTTTGATTGACCCTCTTTGTCCCCCTTCCCCACCTCCCTTTCAGCCTTCCCCCAGGTGTCCCCCCTGTACTTTCCTATCTCCCTTGCCCTTCCTCAAGCCTTTCTCCTTTCCTGAGCCTCCCCTAGTTTCCTAGCCTCAGTCTGTACACATTCTCACCTAAACATACATGCATGACAATGAGAAGCCATGGGCGGTGAGTGTTCCCGAGACAGAGGGCGGAGTCGGAGATGCATTATGTGAAACCCACAAAGAATCAATAATTAGGCTTTTTTAAAAATGAGAATCTAAGAGCATACCTGGGCCATCTCACTGAATATAATATTTCCCAGTTCCATCCTACTCTATTCAAGGTTCATGGGCTCATTTTCTTTTATGGCTGAAGGAAAACCTACCACCACATAAATGTTCCAATTTTTTACTGTCCATTCATCTGCTGATGGATGTCTGAGCTTGGACTCGTACTCAACCTAACACATCATAGGCTACTGACATCTTCGGTGATCTGGAATATTTATTTATTCCAGCAACAGAAGACTTCATTTCTACATAGTTCACTTTTATGCAAGTGTGTATTCTAACATGTTTCCACACTAGTATTATGCAATGATTCGAGTTTCTGTTTAGTGTAATTGAGGGGATGAATTTAAAATGGCAACAACCAAGGTAGATGCCATTTTGAAACCCTAATAGTCATGTATTTGATTAGTATTAGAAACAAATGAATAATGTCCTTTTACTAAATCATTTCCACTTAATATAGTGTATGTTTTCGTAGTAAATTATTCACATTTAGATATAGTTGCAATTCAGTTTTTTAATTTAGAGACATGTAGCATAGGAACATTTAATATGTATTAACTCATAAAGCTCTCCTGTGCTATTTATTCTCAGTATACCAAGAAAAAGTGAAACAGGTGTTTTGGTGCCTTTGTACTCTGAACTATAAATGATAGTGTTGAGTGTGTAACCAGGAAATTATTTTTTCTTCTGAGACTCAGTCTTCATGGACAGACTTCATGGATGTCCAGTGGCACACATGCATATAACTTAATAGCTTCAGGTTAAATAATTGAAACTGGTCAATTTAAAACACCAAACATCTCTAAGCTTGCCTAATTTGTATCACTGGTTCTGAACTGTATTTGTAGTGGTATATTCTTAAAACTCTTTCTCTTCATAGTATACAATGTCTAAGTTAACATTTTAATGTTTTATTTTTTTAGGTTATTGATTTATTGTTAACAATTTGTATCAGATTCTCCCCACATTGCTGCCATGGTTTTCATTATCTACGGTGAACATTTTCAAATGCTGAAAGACTATGGTCAAGGCATATGCAATGGCCATGAGGTCTTGTTTTCCTGAAAAAAAAAGTGATCTGGAAGCCAAGTGCAGACTGGTACATTGGCAACAATTCTCACCAGCCTAGTGGGCTTTATCAAAGTCAGCTACAGGCCCTTGTCTCCCATAGTTTGGGCTCTGTGATGCTATCTCAGAAGTTAGCTTCCAGCCACAAATGTGACCGACTCCCTCTTGAATGAAAACATGAATTGATCCTCCCAGGATTACCCGGTCATTCCTGAAAAGCTCTACCCTCTCAGGCCCTCAACACATGACAGTTACGGGCACAGTTTTTGGTCAGGAAAAGGGCATAACGGGTAGTATGCAGTGTTGATGGAAGAGTAACTTTTTCCTTCTAGCTTTTCTTGTTGAAAAAATACTTCAGTATATATAGGGCCCAATCATTTAGAAAACTCCAGATCAACTCAGCTGGGCTACACAAGTCCCATATCTCTATGAGTATGTATTTAGCTTATATATTAAGCTTGCCATCTATATTTCTAGGGCTTATAGATTTTTGGCAAATGATTTCAGCGAAACTGTTTGATTGCATTCCATCTAAATGTTTTAAAATTCAGGAACAAATGGTTACAAAATGCATAGTTGTCTACACAGCGGTTGCCGAGGGTCCCGAGTGTGGAAGCATTGTTCCCTTGAATGATGAGGCTTACGTTTGTTATGGTAAAAGGGGTCGGAGGTTCTGAGGTCGTGACAGGGGTTAAAGGATTAGCATGTGACAATAAGTATCAGTCAGGAAAATGGAAAAGTAGAACTAATTTTTCTTGCACCCACCTGTGCTTTCTGTCAAATAAAAACCTGTGGTAATGACACAGTGAGGAGAAGCAGCAAAGGTTAATGAGTAACACAAGTTCAAATGTGTAAAGTATTGGAGCGTAAATTGGATCATACAACCCAGTGTGGCTGGGTGAACTAACAAAGGAGGTTGAGACCACAGTGGAAAATTTTGGGAGGCAGGCAACTTAATTTCTGTTGTTTGAACAGCTTAAAACTATTAATACATGCCAATTGTACTTAACATTAAGCTTTGTTTGCAGGAAGCCGTTTCAAATGATGAAACTACAGCTGTTTGGGGCCTCATAAAGCTTCTAAGCAGTTTTCTATAACTCAATCTTTCACATTCTGTTCCAGGTCCCAATGATGCCTGCTCTCTTATCCGTAATACACAAGACATAAAAAGTAATGGCTGTTAAGTGGCTGTGGTGATTGTCTGAAACTTGGTATTGACAGATGTTAAACAATTGTAAAAGCCTTTGATAAGTTCAGACATGGTCACAATTCTTTATTTTAATGAATATATAATCTAAATGTTAGACTTTATCTTTTTTTTTTTTTTTTTTTTTTTTTTTTTGCAGTCTATGAATGTGCATGTCTATTGCAAGAGAGAGGGAACAGCATTACATACTTGTACCACTGAAACATTTGCAGAGTAGTGGGATAGGAAAGAGGGTGAACTTCCCAGTCATAGCCTTGTAAAGCTCTATTCTTCTAGAATTATGAAAAGAATCCCAGTGTAAGAAATTCCAGGATCTGCATTTGATATAAGATTTTTTTTTTCCTTCTAGTGGGCAGAAATTTAAACTTTTGATAGTGGATTTCTTTTTTTAAGTAGAAAAAAAAATTCCAAGTGAAGCTGAAAAAACATCTTGAGAAACATAAAAATAAATAAATGACCCATGAACGTCTAAGGCAGAGAGTGTCTGTCAGTTCTATTAATTCACAGTGGTGGCCCCGGCAGAAACACATTTTGTGCATCTAGCTCGTAGATAAAAAGGAAGGTCAGAGGTCACAGCACGAGTTTATCGCAAACGGTTCTCATGGATTCTTGTTTTCCCTCAGGTTTTCTGGGTTCATTGTTTGAATGGCCTCTTCCACTCAGTTATTCTGTTTTGGTTCCCACTAAAAGCCCTTCAGTATGGTAAGTAGAAAGGATATGAATGCAAAGAGGTGGTGTCTCACCATCTTAGGAAAGTAACTCATTGTCTATGCACGGTCAAAGTTATGGCACTGTTTCCTTCCATGGCATTTTCCTTAATCTAAAATGTTGTGCATCCAGAAGTTATGCACACAGCAGACATTTTTATTATTCCTTTAGGAGTCAAGCGATTTAATCTATGCAAAGCCCTTCTTTACTTCTTCTCATGCTTCCCAAACTTGCAAACTTGAGGACTTTTCTGTCCTTTGCAAGCAGATGCTGCGACGATAGTAAGTGCCGGTGTCTCATGTCATCTTTTTATGGTAGCGCGAGGCTTATATAGAGCACGTTCAATTGAGCCTCATCGGCTGGGCTAGTGTTTTCAGGTGAACTTGAGCTGACGTTTTTAATATGTTTTCCCCTTCATCCTGGAGTGTGGGCTTTTTTTTTTTTTTTTTCTCTTGGCTAGTTTCAAGGGAGTAATTTTATCCCATCAATTTTGAAAGAGAGAATCATGGCATACTTCCTATGTACATAAAAATGATGAAGTGACCACTCAGGGAGGAAGGGTGTCTGTCGTGCCTAGCCTGCTGCTTTGAGTTCTGGGCAGACCTCTTCCCTGGAGTGCTAAAGAAGTTGCTGGCTCTTCAGTGCTGTGCCCCAAGGCTGCAAGATTCAAAAAGGTTGGCTCCTTCTCCATTCAAGTAGCTGTCAGTCCTTTCAAAGTAAAGGCAAATCCTACCACCTAAGTACTCATGAGTGCTAGCATGACACCACACTGCCTGTTCTTGTCCCTGTACAACTCCTTTAACATGGGTTTCCAGAATGATAAAACATCAGGCAATCTAAGTACCTCAAGGCTTACCACACTTGCCACCTCCAAAGACCTGTGTATTCTTCCCCAGAGAGGCTGTGCACAGAAGTGCCCTTAGGTCACCCCTGTCCCAAGACTGCCGCACCCAGTCTTAGGTCTGCACACCGTTTGCCTTGCTTGGTTTCATGTTTTGCCCTCTCTGCATGTCTTTCTCCTCTAAACCTCAGCAGACTGAGGAGTGAGTCAGGTTGGTGATATTTGCTGTGCTCACAACAGTGCCTGGCTTCTCATAGGTACCCAGTCAGCTGTGGCTGGATTACTGTGCCTCACAGTGTGAAAGCCTAAGCATTCCAGGGAAAGTGCTGGGCTTCTGCCCTAGCCTTTTAATCCCCTTTGTCAATTACTCAGGAAATTGTAACAGTAAACACTGCTCAATTTCAAGATCATGGGAAATAGTTTGTGTTCTTATTGAGGTATAATTAAGTTAATGCAACATTTACAGTTTTCAAAATGCACTGTTCTGTGGTTTTTTTTTTTTTTTTTTTTTTTTTTTTTTAGTATCGTCACTGAGTTATGCAAATATCACCATCATATAATGCCAATGCCATAATGTTTTATCACCCTCCAGAAAGAATTCATATGCCCATTAGCAGTCACTCCCTGATTTTCTGTAGCCTCCTCATAGCCCTTGGAAACCGCTGATTTTTCTATCTCTGTGAACTTGCCTATTTGAACATGTCATTTAAATGGAATTATGTACATAAGCTTGGCTTTTCCACATTGCAATACCAATCAGTACTTCATTCCCTTTTCTGATTAAATAATATTCCACTGCATAAATGAACCACCCTTTAGTTACCCACTAATCAGTTGATGTATATTATGTTGTTTCTGCTTTATGAAGCAATCAAATATTGAAGTCCAGGGTACAATTCAGGATATCCTGACCTCAGTCAAATCCACCAAGTAAAGTTAATTTTCAAAATGTAAAATCAACATAAGAATTAAAAGCAAGATATCGCCAATCCGTGAAACTACTATTTCAACATCCTAAACTAGAAAAAGGAAATTTAATATCAAAAATAAGCCAAGCCAAACAGCATACAATATACTTTAGACATGCCAAATCTCTCACTGTGTTTTCCTGGGAAACAGTCCACGTCAGCCGGTGTCAGCCCCGCTATCCCCAGCAGCCGCTGCCTGGGGAAACTAAATCCAGATGAATCTCAAGGGCCCTTGGCTTTTTCCTTAAAGAGCGAGTTATAGGTAGCATAGACTTTGAGTTCCCAGTTTGCTGTTGGGGGCTTTTAATTGTTTCCCCTTTTTCCTGCTTTTAAGTGAGTGCTTGAGGATTGGATGACCTGTTTTGCTTTGAAAGGATGGAAAAAATGGAGTCCATAAAAGTATAGAAAACACAACAGTCACTTTTAGTGAAACAGTTCCAAGAGTCGTCTATAAATGTCTTACAAAACTCGAGAGCTTTTGGAAGTCTGTGGGGTCAAAATTTGAGTATTTGATCAATTTTTGTAATAGTCAGTTTTTGTCTGTTAGAAACAGTGTGGGATAAGACACTTGGGGCTTCGGTGGGAACAATGGCAGTGAGGCTGGCCTTCTCATCCTCCACTGCGTACATATCTAGCCAGTTTCACTCAAGGCTGCCCTTGAAGGAACTGTGGGCCAGTGCTCTGACTGACCCTTGAACGCTGGTGTGTCTCGGTAGAGTTCCAGGAGACAGGCTGGGCAGACATGAAAGCACCACTGCTGCTGTTCCGAGCTCAGTGGCTTGCACTGTGTATGGAACTGAGTGTTCACTTCATGAGTCGAACCACAGGCTTACACACACACCATTGCCGTCTTGTGTGGCGCCACATGACCAGTGGATTTTAATGTGACCTCGTATGCGGAGTTCACTAGTGGAGTTTCTGATTCCATACTGGCAACTGCCCTTTAAAAAATAAAATCAAAGAACACCCCTACCTCTGGGGGGGGTGGGGGTTGGGGAGAAAATAGCTTGTTGAGTTTTGATGTAGTATAAAAGAATTATTGGAAAAGATTACCGAAATAAACACAGACACACCCATCATAACTCCATGTATATCTCTACAAATCCGTATTTCTCTGAAATATTGTAACCAAAGCAACATGTGAGAGCCCAGCTGTATTCTGTTAGATTCTGAACATTAAGGAGATTAAAATAAAATGATGCCAATTTTCTCACTCATTTTTGTTTAGGAAAATAGTTGTTTTTCATAAAACGTGTTTATATGAGTTTACACTGAGTTTATTACTGTTATTTTTAGATAAATTACAGACTTTTTAATGTTCTGTTTTAATTTCTGATTTGGTAAATACTGATAGCTATAAAGCATGTACCCTGAAACTTCTGAGGATGTTCCATCATTTCTGAGTCCAAAGACCAGGAATGAAAGCCAGTAATTTAACAGAGCCGTCCAAGTGTCTTTGTGTCTCCCCAGACAGCACATGTAACTTGTGTGAATCTGAAAACCACCCGAGTGGGCCTCATGCTGAGTTCCCTGGGAATTGAGTGTCAATATTTTCAGCAAGTAATAGCATCTCTTGGTTAGCTGCTATTCCTTCATCTATAGCTATTTTTTCTTACTCATCCCTAGAATAACAAAAGACTTTGAATATACCCAGAAATCCAGCCAGGCCCTCAAAGCCTCATGAAGCATCATGTGTGTAGCATCAGGCTGGTACTCCCCATCGTCTGAACATAGTTTTTCATGGGTCCGTCTGGGTTCCATGTTAACAGCTTTATTGAGAAGGGTCAACCTTCTGTCTCAGCACTCAGAATGTCACGTCCTTTCAGTGCCCAGGACTTTAAGCTTTCCAAATGATTAAGAGTTCAACATTTTTGTGTATTTATTTATTTTCACTTAGTGGAGTCTAAGAATTGGTTAGTGAGTCAGATTCCCCACTTGGTGCTTAATTTGTGGCCCCTCTGTAGTAGTTTTGTGAGGAACAGCAGCATGGTCTCAAAGATACACTTCATTTCTGGCCCCACTTCACACCTCTGGGTTCTTGTTGTGTTCAAAATGACAAAGTTGCTTTCTGGTTTTTTGGACCTTCCTTCATTTTCTTCCTAACAAGCCTCCTTTTCTTGCAGGTACGGTATTTGGAAATGGAAAAACCTCAGATTACCTGCTTCTGGGAAACTTTGTTTACACTGTGAGTTCAGCCCTTTGCATGTTTTTGTCTAGAGCCACTGCCTCTTATCTCTGCCCCCTCTCCTTTCTGATTTAAATGTGTGCAGGGTGAGTTTAAGGGTCATTTAGGGTTCTCTTTATAAAATGAAATAAGGCATTTGAGGTATTGAGAGCTTTCCATATAAGGTTTTCTCGGGTTTGTTTTGTGTATTTGGGTTTTTTGTGTTGCTGTTGTTGTTATTTGTTTTGTTTTGAGATAGGACCTCACTGTGTAGGCTAGGCTGGCCTTCAACTTAAAGTCCTCCATCCTCAGTCTCCCGAGTGCTAAGAACGATGATCAGGCCCTGTGGGCCACCCACCACACCAGCTCCTTTTAAATATGACTTGGATTCACTGGCTTTAAAAGATTTCTGTTACTTTGACTTTCAGTTGTTCCTCTTTACTCTTAATAGCTATTTCCCCATTTTTTTCCCCATTTTTGACTCTCTCCTCAGATTTGTCCTGTTGCTATCTATATTATATTGCCTTATATTATATATTTGCCTTCCTGAATGTTACCAAACATCACGAAGGTATTCTTGGGTGTATAACCAGTGATTTCTTCCAAGACTTGTGCTAGAATTCACATTAGCGTGAACTGTAGCTGGAGAAATAACTCAATGGTTAGGAGCACTGGCTGCTTCTGAGGACCTGGGTTCAGTGCCCAGCACCCACGGGGTGGCTCACAGCCATCTGTAACTGCAGTTCCAGAGGATATTTACACTCTTCTGACCCTGGGAGACACCAGGCACACAATTGGTACACATACATACATGCAAGCACATGTTCAAACACATTAATGAGAGTGATCTGCAGGCTTATGTAACATTTTCCTCATTGCTGCCAAAGATCCACCAAGCCCTTCCCACTGCCTCTAAGATGCCAGAAAGCAATCAGACCATTTTTTCTGCTAAAAACTCAAGAGGACTGTGGAATGCTAATGCCCATGGTTACTCAGCTGAATCCATACACAGTCGTTTCAACCTGAATTCTGCATTCTGTGACTAGCACTCTGTATATTGCTTATATGCCTCACTCGCTCACCCTCTCACTCGCTCTTCAGCCTCCACATAGACAAAGTATGGCCAACCAGCCATTGGTGTGGCTGACTCAGTGATAACGGTGCTGAAATGTCATTTTGAGCCTGAAAGTTTAGCTCAGAGAAGAATGAATTTCAGTTCCTAGCACTGAAAACTAAAATATACAGTTCTCAAATGCTGGAGTAATTGAATGATAAGAAATGAAATTCATTTGCATGCTGATTTGTTTGAACTCTCAATTTCATACAATGTAAAAGAGAGAATTAATGAGAGATTTTCTAGATCCACTTGACCTATGAACATATCATCTATGGGGATGGTTAATTGAGTTGGTAAGACCCTCCTTTGAATGTAAGTAGTACCAGGTCATGGTCTGGGCTTTGCATTGTATAGAAATAGAGACTTCCAGCTGAGTATTAACCAAGCACACACAGAGACATGCGTTTATTCCCTCTCTCCGCTTAACTGTGGATATGATGCGTCAAGGCCCTGCCTTGATTTCCCCATAATAATGACAATAACCTGGAATTGTAAGCCAGGTCAAATCAAATGCCTCTATATTGATTATTTTCCCCACCACAGCAAAGTTATACTCAGCCACAGGAATTCAGGTTTGGGGAAATCTTGGGCTTTCTTTCCACTGATGCCCTCCCATTGAAGGAGTAAAAGAAAAGCACAACCATATTTGAGAAGAGGTTTCTCTTATAGCATGAATGCCAAAACAGAACTGTGTTTATGCTTAACCAGGTAGCTAGAAATAAGCCATGGTTCATATTTTGGCTGTCTCTTGGGGACATGTTATAAAGTCTCAGGTCTCAGAGTGCTTTTCTTTGATTTTGTCACTTATTGGAAATTTTACATAGGTTAAGCTAACTAATATTCACTCATATGAATTTTATATATGCAGATATTCATCATAATTTACCAACAGATATACTGTTGAGGAAATCCAACTGTACCACCTAAATCTTAACTTTTCAACCCTGCTCAAAAATGTCTGAACATGTACTGTCCCCAAAACCTGAAAGTAGGATTGGACACTGAGGCATTGGCAGTCACCAGTACTAGGCAAGAAATCCATTTTCAGTTCTATAAGGTAATCCTAGTGCCCAGAGTTTCCTTGACTCACAATGTTTTGGGTTTTTACACGTAGTTATAAATAGATCATAATAATATGAGTGTTGGTCTGAGTGTTCCATGTTCAGTGTTTTAATGAAAAACAACCTTGTGAGGAAAACCAGCTAAGTTTTTCATTACTGCAGACAAATGTCTGCACTTAACAACTTAAGAGAAAAAGTTCATTTGCTCACAGTGTCAAAGGTATCAATCCATCATGATGGGAAGATAGACTGTTAATCTCGGTTGTCAATTTAACACACTTGGGAAGAGAAAATCTCAAGTGAGGAATGAATTGCCTCCATCTGATTGGCCAGTGGACATGCTGTGAGGCAGTCTCTTGATTGCTAATTGATATGGGTGGTGCCATTTCTGGACACATGGGATTGGGCTACATAAAACATGTTGAATGTGAACCTAAAAGAAACACCTCTAATCTCTGCTTCAGTTCCTTCCTTCAGGTTCTTTTTGTTTGGTTGGTGGGTTGGTTGATTGGTTTGGTTTGGTTTGGTTTGGTTTGGTTTGGTTTTTCAAGACAGGGTTTCTCTATGTAACAACCGACTGTCCTAGAACTCACGCTGTAGACCAGACTGGCCTCCAACTCACAGAGATCCTCCTGCCTCTGCCTCCTGAGTGCTGGGATTAAAGGAGTGCACCACCACCACCTGGCTGCCTACAAGTTCTTGACTTAAGTTCCTGCCCTAACTTCACTCCATGATAGACTATAACCTATAAGATAAAATAAACTCTTTCCTCCCAAGATTGCTTTTTGTCATGATGTTTATCACAGCAACAGAAAACAAACTAGAACAGAAATTGGTACCAGAAGTGGGGCCTTGCGATCACAAACATTACCATGTTGTTTGTGGGGAGTATTGTAGAGCTTCAGGTTGGAAATGACAGTAAATGTGTAAAGCTTGATGGGCCGTTCTGTGAGAAGTTTGAGTCCCTTAAAGACTCTCAGGGCCATTAGTATAATATTTTGAATTTAAAATCTGCAGTTTCTGGTCAGCTGGAGCTGAAGAATTAGCTGTGATTAACAAGAAGACCAACGCCACAGAAGCAAAGCCTTTGCTTTGCTTTGCTTTGCTTTGCTGGCACAATCGAACAATTTATGCTGGTCAGCAGGGGCTGGAAAATTACAACAGTGATTAACAAGAGGCCAGCATTATTGGGGTGAAATCTTTGGGGAAGTATTTCTTCTGGGTTGGTACACAGTTCGGGGCCAGTGCTGCACATCTACTGGCTGTAGAACTAGGCAAATAGCAGGTAAGGGTCTCTCACATGGGTCTGGTTTTGAAGGCCTGAAGGGTCATGGAGAGTGGCTGAGGCTTGGCACAGGGAAAGGCCATTGATGAAAGTATAGCTCGAGTCACAGTCAAAAACCCAGGATAGCGGAGATGCCAGGACTCTGAGATGACCACCACAAAAAAAAAAAAAAACAAAAAAAAACTAGATCAGGGGGTTATGGTGGGGTGGAGACAATCACACTGTGACAGCCAGGAAGCAGTAGGAGAGAGTGAATGCATCCACTTGCAGGCTTCCTCCCTTTCCTCCCCTCTGTTCCATCTGGCCCTCACCTCACATGGTGGCACTTCCCACTTTCAGAGAGAGTTTTCCTTTAGACAGTGCTTTCTGGAAATGCCCTCCCAGACAGCCCCAGTGTGGATTGCTTGTCTCCTAGGTGCTTCTCACTCCACTCATGTTGACAGTCAAGATTAGCCTTCATGGGAGGCAAGCCTCAACAGTTCCAGGATGAAAGAGCTGAATATACTGATGAACGAACTTGCCCCATTCATTAACCAAAGCAGCTTGTACTCTGACACCAAGGCAGGTGTATCTAACTACTGCTGGTTTGTAGTGAGATACAGAGAAGTCAAGGTAGCTTTTGTTTACTCATTTCAGAATTACCCATTGTCTTAATCAGGGTTTCTGTTGCTGTGATGAAACACCATGACCTAAAGCAACTTGGGGAAGGAAGAGCTTATTTCACTTACTAGTATATATCTGTTCATCATCAAAGAAAGTCAGGGCAGGAACTCCAACAGGGCAGGAACCTGGAGGGAGGAACTAATGCAGAAGCCATGGAGGAATGCTGCTTACTGCCTTGCTCTTTATGGCTTGCTCAGCCTGCTTTCTAATAGAACCCAGGATTACCAACCCAAGGGTGAACTGACCCACATTGGCCTGGGTACTCCCCCATCAAACATTTGTTAAGAAAGTGTCCTACAGGCTTGCATGCAGCCTGATCATATGGAGACATCTTGTCAATAGAGGTCCCTCCTCTTAGATGACTTCAGCCTATGTCAAGTTGATATAACCCTAGCCAGGACACCCATATAATTACCACCAATGGTTTGTGTTTCAAGAAGTGGCTGACTCTCATAGCCTACATTTGTAGAACTATACTTACATAAAGTTCCAGAGTAAAGACTTAGGTTCCTAAACAACTAGTTGTTTACTTTTGTAATTTATGTTTAAAATCCAGGAAGTGAACTTTTAGTGCAAAAGATTCAGTTAAAGGAAACTTGAAACACCAAATTAGCATAAGCACGTGCTGTTCATGAATTGTACAAAATACAGACAGTAGGGCCTTCAGTGACCTCTTTGACAGACTCTGAGACTGAATGTGAGCAGAGGCAGGAGAGGGCAGCTATTGCCATGTCCTAATGAGTGCCGTTCACCTGATCTACAAATTTAATGAGCACATAGCTGCTTTAATTCGGACCTGTTTGTTCTTTGGAAGGTCTCTCTGTCACTTGATAGATTATACTTATGTCATGAGCACTTTCCCACCAGCCTGGTGCCACAGCCACATCAGCCCCAAATAACACCCAGTGACACTGTATTAATTATGAAACTGTTGGCCAGTTACTAGTGTTTCTTATTGGCTAGCTCTGTCTAAATTGTTAACTCATTTCTATCAATCTAAGTATTTCTATACAGTCTTATATATATATATGACACAATATATAAGACAAAGTAACATTTTCCCTTTCTGTTTTCAGTTTGTAGTGATAACTGTGTGTCTGAAAGCTGGGCTGGAAACCTCATATTGGACATGGGTAAGAATATCCCTTATCACATGTCTCTTTCTTACAAAGCCTGCAGTTATTGACTATGGAACATTGGATGTGGAGGGAGAACTAGGGATTATGGATTGAAAACATTGAGTTAAATGAGTTTTAAATCATCAGTATTGCACATTGTTATCACCTCACATAGATGGAAACTTTCAGGCTTGCAATGTCATAGAACTGGTGTTCCCTAGGAAACTTGTTAGAAAATAATTCTGAAGAACAATAAAATTAGTGAGATGTAGCAAGCTTTTATGACTTAATTAATCCATATTTTTTTTTTTTAATCTATGTTCTGCCACATGGCCTGGTTACCTCTCCTAAGTATGGTGCATCTTACTTGCTCCAAGTCTGCTGGTGAATCCAGCCTGGATTCCTCCTCCTCTTCCTCTCTCTCCCTGAAATCCTGCCTATTCTGTCCTACCTAGCTATTGGCCATTCAGCTCTTAATTAAACCAATCAGAAGGTGCCTTGGCAAAAACACATCTTCACAGTGTACCAAAAGGTTATCCCACAACAGTGCGAGATCTGTCCTCAGACCCGTACAAGTGAATGCACAGTCTGTATAAAATGCATTCCACGTTTAATACATTAGTTTTGCAGCCATTTCCACTTCTGGGTAGAGAGACTAACTAAAGAAAACAAAATTATAGTTTGATGCCCAAGAAGGGAAATTGGAACAAGAAATTTGGATTTGACACCCGTTGACCTCCGTGTAATTCTCCCTCATGTGTCCTTAATGTCTTTAAGAAGAAACATGCATAGCAAAGATAAAAGAGAGTGGAAGATAGTGGTGGATTAAAAAAAAAAAAAAAAGATAAGTGTCAGAGCAGAGAGCAATGACAGAGATTACAGAGTGAATGCACACAACCATAGCACCGGGAGGTGGTGGTTTTCTGAATTAACGCAGATTAGAAGAGAATCCATGACTGTTTCCGTAACATTTGTGTGCTTGACTGGATGGGGGTGTCTTGACACACATTTCCTTTCTCACAGTTCAGTCACATTGCCATCTGGGGCAGCATCGCGCTGTGGGTGGTGTTCTTTGGAATCTACTCATCTCTGTGGCCTGCCATCCCCATGGCCCCTGATATGTCTGGAGAGGTAATGTATGCTAATGACTCATGACCCAGCAAAACCTTAGAAATGGGTACCCATTAATGAATCTTCATCCTACTCGGCATGCCTTTCCATTTTGTGGGTCTCTACTCAAGTACATTTGACCACCCTCAGTTGCCACAGGTGGGAGAGATAAATCTCCAAGCAGTATTTTAAACTTCAACATTTAACTTAAATCTGACTTATCCTTTCATAAACACAACTGAACCAATAAAATATGGCTGCATGGAACTTGAATCTTGTCACGAGTACCCATATAGAAGATGCCATTTTAAAAATTAGACCATAAATCCACAAGTGCATTTAGAATAAGAGACTTAGTGAAATAGTGTGGCTCCTTCTTTGGGACAATTTGTCATTCCTTCTGTTGTGTCTTATTCCAAAAAGGAGTCAGCCATCACTAGATTTAAATGCACTTTCCAAGATGTCTTAATGACATCAGTTTGACTCTTGTTTCAAAGGAATTGAGGCACGTGACGTCTCAACCTTATCATGCTCCATTTTCAATCCTGTCTTTCAATTTCTTGTTACACTGGGAGGAATTGAGTTATTAGGTGTTCATAGGGGAGTGTCAAAAGATCTCTTTTCCTTTAGAAGAGGGTTCAGCAGTAGGAGGGTTTATGATTTCAATTGCAGGAAATTTGACATAAAATGTATAAAAGAAAATGTGGAAAGCATTTCAAGATTTCCTGTGACCTCACAGTAACTTGCAAATCGAGGTAACGTGAGCCCTGTTGTGGGCTGTTGTTTCGCCTCATGCACAGAGACCCTCTCCAGTGGTTTGCATGTATTCCCTGCCCGTAAGTCTGCCTGAGTACCCTTCACTTTTGACAGTCTGGTTTATAGATCATTTTCATGAAATTTGATCTGACAGCACCCTGCTTTTTATAAATTAACAGAATGCAGACACTTTTAAAAAATGTGGTTAAATTTATTAGAGAGAGGCATTATATACTATTATGGGAAAGCCAGATGAATCTACAAGCTGGCTTGTCCCTCTGTCTCATGTGAAGGCATCTTTTGAAACATACACACTAAAGCCTAGAAAGTTTGCAGGCTGTTTAAAGAGAGTAGAGAGAAAGCTGCAAATGGGCCTCCTCTTTGCCTTGGCTTCTAAGCCTTTCTTTCTGAATAGAAAAATATCACATGCATGTGAAAATGTGTGTCTCCAATCTCTGATGATGATGTGTGGGAACCCAGTTCTGCTGTGTCCCTGTGTTGCGATGTCTGCCTGAACCTGCTTTTCCCCAAGGACAGCTCTACCTGAACCTCTTTCACTGCCCATTAAGTCTACTTCATTTACCTTATTTCTTCATGTTTATTTTATCTTCAAAATGAGGACCACAGAAGATTTTGAGGCCCCAATCCTTTAAGCAACTGTGACTAGTGGGTCTGATGACAAGAACTGAGTTTTTGACCACCTACTTCTAGGACAAGTGTAAAGTACAGTTGGCTTTTAGCCAACCACACATAATTCTGCCCTTGCCTGTAGAATTCCTGGTATTACCCAAACACAGAACTTAATATTGTCTCTTGAGACGCCCGGCAGTGCTCTGTTTAATTCAAAGTGAAATGAATGTCAGTACTCCATCATGTTTTTGTTCCCTTTGTGGATGGTGGGGGCTGCTAATGGGAGTTCTGTTTCTTCCTGCTTCATGACTACTGCAACTTCTAGTAAAGTATTTACATAACTGGCGCTTCCTTGAAAATAAAAGGACTGGATTAGTTCAGCTGTTGGCTTTACTAGCTTGTCCAAAACATGTCAGCTTCACTTAGCCAAAGGAAAAGATCAATTCTTTAACATTAGGTTGTACTTGAGTGCTTGTCACATATTTTAATGAGTGTGTACATGAGCGTATGTGTGTTCAAGTGAACTTCATCACCAGCTAAGGGTTTGACAGAAATGTCATTTGTCTTGTCAAGTATAAGTGGTGTCCATTTGCTTCTTGAGCAGTAGGATAATGGGAAATCCTGTTTGTAACACTTCAAGATAAGCACAATCACTGGCTGTATTAAGACTCATTTCACTTCACAAATAAGTGATTTCTCTTCTATGTGAAATTTTACAAATCCTAAAATTTTATGTTTCAATAAAGACTACAGACTATATATATATATATATATATATATATATATATATATATACACACATAGATATATAAAGCTTCTGTTCTTGTGCCAGTGTTTTACATCTATTGTAAAGCTGTGCAGAATTGGCTGGTCATCTTATTTATTCACCTAACTCCCATGACAGAATCATCGCAGCATATATAGGACAATACATTACTGTAGGTAGCAGCAGTCAACACTGGCTGGCTTAACTGTGCTGCATAACACACATAGGGATGCCCAGAATGTAGGGATAGTTCACAGAACACCAACACAGTAAGTAGTAACTTTCTGTCACCAGCAATAGCAAGGACTCAGGGACTCGACATGCCCTACCATCCTGTTCTTCTCTGTCCCAACAGCACTTCCTTCCAAGACTAAATTTTGTACATTGGTGTCTTAGTTGGGGTTCCTATGGCTGTAAAGAAATATCATGCCCGTGCCAACTCTTATAAAGGAAAACATTTAACTGGGCAGCTTACAGATTTAGAGGTTTAGTCCATCATCACAGCAGACATGGTGCTGGAGAGGTAGCTGAGAGTTCTACATCTTGCGGGCAACAGGTAGTGGTCTGTCTCACTGGGCATGGCTTGAACATATATGAGACCTCAAAGCCCTCCTCTACACTGACACACTTCCTCCAACAAAACCACCACCTCCCATTAGTACCACTCCCTTTGGGGGCCACTTTCCTTCCTTCAAACCACCACAGTGGGTGTGTTTTTAGTTGCTGAGAAGTTTAATGTAGGTGACAGAACAGAAAATTGTATGGGCAGGCTTTGGAAGCCGAGGTACTCTGTGGCCTTAAAGGGACATTGGCTGAAAAGAGAAGCTACTCCAAAAGGCAGCCAAGATCCGGGAAAAACCATTGCACCAGGCACTCAGAGGTGCTGAAACAAGGTTGTAATCTTGTTTTGGTGAAGCTAGTAAAGCATACAGCTGAACTAATCCGCCCCTTTTATCTTCAAGGAAGCCCCAGCTAAGTAAATATTCAAAGTTGCAGTAGTCAGGAAGCAGGAAGACACTGAAGTACTGAAGTACTTCTCCAATGAGTGTGTGCATTCAGTCAGTGTGACAAACATCCACTGGGATTCTTCTGTGCCAGCTGCCGTTCTAGGCACTGGATTCAGGAATGACAGAAACCATGCCCTCCTGCTGTGTTCCCTAGTGGGAGGAGAAAAACAACAGATAAATAAGTGGCATGTACATGAGTAGAGGAAAGTACAGTGGATAAGGGTACCATGTACCAGGTTTGACATGGAACCCTGAGGCTTTTGCTCATAGTCGGATGGAGGAGCCGAAAGCTTATGAGCTCTGACTGCTATTCACAAACACACACATGGTCATTGCAGGGAGACAGGTGAAAAATAATGGTCTCTTGGACCAGAAGGGCAGCAGTGTGGCGAAGAGGGGAGATGCTGAGAACCTGAAGTTTTAAGTGGTGGTATTTGCAGATGGGTGGAATGTTGAGGGAATTTCGAGGCTGATTCCAGTGTTTACTGTCAATAAAATAAGAACACATTAGACATTAACTCCCTGCTTCCCATCACAAACTTGTTTTAGTAGCGAATTTAAAGATGAATTAACTGAGGAGTTAAATCTGACCTCCCATAGGAAGTGGCAAAGGGAAGGCTTTCAGCTATGATACTTCTCTGGCACTAGATGTTTAGTTAGGACTCACTGAGTCTGCAAGCATGCTCCCTCTGGTGGGTGGGTCATGGATGCTCACAGAAGAGGAAACCTGTTGTCTGTTGTCCTACAGTGCTACTTTTCCCAGGCATTGATGCCGAAAGGGTCATTACAAGGCCACAGCAATGAGTCTGAATGTTGCCATCATCTTTGTTTCTGTTTTCATCCACTTACACAGGGCAGGATGGCCCCATGATGAACATTAAATGAACATTAATTTAAACTTCTGCTGTGTCTTCTGCAAACAGAAGAAAAACAGTAGGTAGATGTCGCAGAGAGGTAGATTTCAGCACAGATAACTCTCTTTCCATTTGAAGCAGACAGAGCCGAATGTTGGACTTGGCAAAGCCATGTTTGGATGATGGTGACCAACTCAGTCATTAGCAACACTCAGGCAACAACTTATCCATCCCACAGCTCCATGGTGCCTTCTCATTCTTATGTGTCCCCTCTGCCCCCCACCATGGCTTCTGTGGCCTCTCAAGTGGAACAAGTTGCAAGGGCTCAGACTCTTGCTCTAGCTCACAGGTCTCAGGGTATGAGTTATATAGATCAAGTAACTTACAGATACAGGACCATGCTTCCAAATTCAGCTCAGTAGCCAGTCACGTATGGCTCTGGGATTTGTAGTCAGTCTCCTTCTGTTTTTGGTTCATCTTTGCAGCTCTGTCTGAAGACACAGCTGTTTTCCACAGCATGTAACCTTTGCTCACTGAAAGTGGAGGGAAGAGAGCCATACTTACCGTGCACCCAGAGTGCTCTCCAGGCAGTACATTTCGTGGCAGGCATGACTTATGTTAGTTAGAGCCATGCTGTTGTAAGGTGAGAAATAGCCAGTGGACCAGCTAGTGACCTAGAAAATGCAACCCCAGAAATTTCTTTTCAAGTCCCACTGGTTTCCTCTGACATGCTGAGGGTTCCTCTATCTTTTCTTCAGTGCCCACTGCTGTTCTTACTTGCAGATGAGAGCTTTCCTTTCATCCTGTAGTCATCTTCCTGCATCCATGTCCTTGTTATTTCATGGCTTACCTAGAACCCTGATCGGCTTCCTGGGTTAACCAAGTACAAAACTGTTCCATTTCTTTCAAAGTGCCCAAGAGCCCTAATCACGTGGTTCCAGCACCCAGCTCTCCAGCTCATCTATAAAAATCCCACCTTCATCTCCGTGGCAGGGGAGGTAGCTCAAC